TTTAAATAATTTTAAATAATAATCATTTTACATAATTTTAATCAATAATTATTTTAAATAATTTTAATTAATAATTATTTTAAATATTTTTAATAATAATAATTTTAAATAATTTAAATAAATTTCTTTAATTGTTTTTACTTTATAAAATACAAAATAATTCCATAAAAAAATATTTAATATTTAATAAACCTTTCATAAATAAGTTTATTTAATTTTATAAATAATTAAATGAAACGAAAAAAAAAAACTTGACCTATGAATCGAACCCAGACCTCGCGCATAGTATGCAGATGATATATCAACCAAGCTACGAAATCGTTAGAGGAAATTGAAATGTTATTGTATAAAAGCTAATCATGAATTTCGAAGGCTATTTTCTCCAAATTGACTAGCCACTCCGCGGAATTACATTGAGGGTTGAACACCATAAGGGAGTAAGTACTACTGTTAGACCAAGTCTGGACCCCAAATGTATTTCCATAGTCGTGCCCTCTTTTTGTAAGATGACGAAATCAAGAACATGCTAGTCTAGTGAAGTCAATGCCAAGACGGGTTGAAAAAGTCATTTCTGCTAAAGGAAGACCTACCTCGTACTATTATACAGATTTTTTAGTCTATTTAAGCTATAAAAAGCTAAGATTTTAGAATAAATCACTCTTATTTCCTATTGTGTCCCAATTAATTCGAACAGTGTAGTAAAAATCAATTTACTCTGTTATCGCACTGCTGCATATATTGATAAAGCACTTAAGGAGCTACAGATTTAACATTTTGACTCGCAGTAAGAGCACAGTGTGAAGAAAACGTTTAATGCCACGGTATTGAATTTTATATAATCTTTGTTAGCTAAAAAATTTCCATGTGTGTGAAGACATTTACTGGGGAATTTTTGATTATATTTTAGACTACATATATTTGTGAGCAAAATTTTTCTTTGATGAAAATCAACAATATTAAATATGGATACAAGTTGGTTGACATAATCTTGCAAGCTGTAATGAGAATTGCAATGTGTACAATATTGCTTCAGATTTTAACAAAAAGGTAGAAAATTATGATAGGGTACATTAATCTCATTAAACTGATTTTAAAATTAAATATGCTTGTAGCTATAGATCATATGAAATCAGCAGAGTAAATAGAACAAAACTGCCCTATTTTATTTAACTTATCTTTATTATTTTTAATAGTGAATGCAATCATTTAAAAAAAGGCATGGCCCACTTGTATCCTCCACTAACACAATATGGCCCACCAGCCAAAACAACTTGACCATCCTTACTGTAATAGGATTAATGGGCTGCTAAAATCCTCCGTAGCAGTCACGTAATATACACCCCCGCAACCCTCCGTATCGTGGGGAGGGAGCAGAGTTCTAGAGGGCCCAAAGCCTGGTGTTATGGTTTTGAAGTCCGTTGTAAGATCCGTCTTGGGACCCAAAACGTAACCTTGCTGGGGGGGGGGGGGTAATATACCCCGTTTTATAACTACTCCCTAGAGCAGTGTTCCCCAACCTTTTTATCGCCACAGACCGGTCAACGTTGGATAATTTTACCGCGGTCCACTGAGAGAGAGGACGTTGATTGTTTATATTTTAGATTGTTTTGGTTAATTAATTTTATTTTAATTGCAGTTATATATATATACATATATATAAGCGCGCCTTCAGAACAAAATACAGCTACACCAACAATTAATATAAAGTGATTTTCATAAAAAGTTGCCCAAACCCAAGAAAAATATGCCACAGTAAATAAAATTTAAATAATTTAATGTTTTTTGTGTGGACCGGTAGAATTTTATCCATGGATCGGTACCTGTCCACGGACCGGGGGTTGGAGACCACTGCCCTAGAGTATCAGGCAAGTGTATTATAGAATTCATAAGGAAGAATCCATGCAAATTGTGTAATTGGCTAATCTATGTGATTAATATATCTTCACGCTCTTACAGAGCTTTGACGGCTTCTTATGGGCTCTATCTCTACTGTCCATAATGAGGGAGCTCTTCCAAAAAAATGGATGTGAGGAAGAAAACATAGGCACAATATGAGAACCAGAGACTGATCCTAATTAGAAGATGTAAAAGTCAACACTAAAGTCAAACAATGATCTCCGGATAAGATTTCCTCCAAATAAAAAAAAGACCCGTTTCAGTATTTTTAGTAGTGTCAATACATGTTCTCTGTGTTTTTCAAAATTACGTTCTCATTCTCGTTCACTTATAGTCCGACTGAATCCACGTTACCGTGGTAGCCTAGTGGTCCAGGTAACGGACTAGTGGACGGCATGTCAAGAGTTCGAGCCAAGAGCCGCTAAAGACTCGCAGTGTAGGGGAGAAATACACGTTAAATCTGTCGAGAGCTTAAACGTCCTCTCATTGGTGTGGTTTGGTAGTTAAAAGAGGGAGGTGCTAGTTCAGGTGTCGTGTCTTAGTCGCTTGAATGTGGTTTAAAATCACGAGGTCTGTCGCTAAAAAGCCCTCGTGTAGCTGAATAGTGCGACGTTAAAATTCACTCACTCGCCTGGCAGAATCTGCTCTCTTAGAACAGGAAATCCCCTAGCTATATTGAAGGTTCTTTGAGTATATAATAATGACAATAAATTTATATATTTCTTCGACATCAATTATTCCGGTTTTTAAGAGTTAGCTATTTCTATCCCTGATAAAATATATTTTATTCTATTAATATATATGTGCTATTTTTTCCTGAAAATCAGGAGTTATTAGAAATGAAAGAATCCAATAAACCTAATAGCTTAAGAACTATGGAGACCTTAAAAATTTAAGGAGTCATAGAGGTGTTAAATTTCTCTAGAGGGCTGAAAATATTATCAATATTCAAATCTATATAACTCTTTGAAATTAAAACTAAATAATTCAGATATTTTATATATTATTTATAAAGGAATGGGGCTTCAGAAAATTGTAAAATGTTTAAAGTATATAATCATAATTTTTTAAAAATGATAAGCATATGGAAATAAGAAACATTTTTATAAGAAATATCAAATAAGTTTTACGTTCCGCATGCTATTTTCTAAAATAGTAGCTTCAAGTACGAGGAGAAATAAGTGGATTTATAAAGGTAAATGTATCCTTAATAAACTGTAGTATTTTTGTTTAAATAGATTATTAAATAATATTTTTTTAAAAAATAAAAAAAAGAAATACATTTTCAAATTTTTTTTAAAAAAAATTCAATATTTTTCAAATATTTTGAGATACAACAGATATATTATTCTTAAATTATTAGGGTTTAAAGAGTATGATACATTTTATAATTCTACAAAGTTTTATACATCAAAGACTACTATCTATTTTAGAAAATAGCATGCACAACGCAAAAATTACTAATAGTTTTTACAAAATTATTTCTATTTTTTTAATGCTTATAATTTTTTAAACTATGATTATATTACAAACATTTTGTACTTTTTTGAATCCTTAATCCTTTGTAAACAATGTGTACAAGATATCAATTATTTAATGTAAATTTAAAAGAATTATACCTGTTTGAAAATTGTTTATATTTTCACCCCTCGATACAAAATTAACACCCCTCAGTCCCCAATTTATCAAAAGGATTTTACTTTCTTTTCAGTTTTAAGGAATTCAAAGACAACATAATACGTAGTTACTTTCATCTGGGAAGAAATTATCTCTTTAATGGCCTGAAAATTTAAAGTCCATTGGAAAAAAATGAGATTGGTTCTCCTTTAGTTCACTTTTAAAGAGATTATGTCTTCCCTTTCCGAAAAAGCCTCATGCTTTTCTTCTAAGAGGATAATTTGGGAGAGCAGGATTATTTGTTGCCGCTTCCTCAATTTAATCATGGAAGCTTTTGAGCGTAGAAAAGATAATTCAAGTTTCTTGCCTCAAAAGAAAAGGCAACAAACTAAGTAAATGGTGCCCTTCAAAAATAAAGCATTAATTATTTTTTCAACAAGTTGCTTTTTCTTTTACCCTTATTTATAAAGGCTTCCATTCATTATGAATAGATACTTTTTTCTGTGAAATAAGACTCTCCCCAAAAATTAAACTGATTTATTTATTTCTTGATGTTCTGTGCATTTTTTAATACATTATTAGATGCAATTGAATGATTTTGAAAGTTTCTACTTTAAATATAAAATTTTGCATTGTGAGGGATCTTCACATATTTTGAAGCAAACTTATTTCAAATAATTATCTACTTTGCAAAAATTAAAACAACATTTCCCAAGATGTTTATTGTAAATGATTTATTAAGGCATCTTATGAGTACCATCTTAATTTTTTCAATACCTTTATTTTTTTTTTAAATTCATAATGTTAGTTTACACTCTCCTTATATATATCTTGTTCAAATTTTCAATCTTGAATAAAATACTTCCTCTTCATCCATTTAAGTTCAAATACATTTTTTTTATAACTTGTAGTGGTCAACACTGTAAGTGAATACAGGTTTTACAAATATTAATTCATTAATTAAATTAACAAATGAATAAATTGTAACAAGCAAAAATAAAAGTTTAACAGCATTTATAAAAAGGAAATTCGTTTGTTGTGTTCCTTTATCGCAATGGATAGCGTGTTGGATCTCTAATCCAAAGGTCGTGGTCTTCAGTCCCACGTGAGATGGCCTTATTTCTGAAAAATGTTATTTCTATTTTACTGAATGATTTTCTTATAATAATTAAATTTAATGAATGACTAAACAGCAACAAAAAATAATAGTCTAACCCCACATATAGAAATGAAAATCGAAAATATTGCAAGGAAAATCGTTTTTTATTTTGTCACTTAATAGTGTGATTCTGTCATATGTATGTACCGTAAAATCCGGCATATAACGCCCACTTTTAACACAAAAACTCACATCGAAATTTAAGGTTGCGTGTTACACGCCGGATATAAAAATGATAGCTTCAAAAATAAAAAAATAAATAAAAAAAATAAAAAAAATAGTTTAGCACAAAAAAAAGTAGGCTTCTACAGATATTAGAATACTCTTTATTTCAAAGAAATGTCATACCTTATGAACAGAAAGGGTTGTTTTTCTAGAGATATACTATTTTTTTTCAAAAAATTTGGGATAATATCTTGAATATAAAGGGCCTTAAAACATAATAGCATTGCTATCGTACATTATAGGTTCCTTCGTAAAAAAAGAAGGTGCGCTTTATACGGCTAATATACTTTAAAATTAAAAAATACAGCTTGAATGTATAGGTGCGCGTTATACGCCAGATTTTATGGTACATATTTATACAAACTATAAATATATTTAATAAAAAGTAACTAAAATAAAATTTTTCTTTGTTGACTAAGCAGGAATTGACTTAATTTTTTTATATTAATTTTTTTCCAATCGACTAGCACACACATATTACAATAACTGATACTCCTACTTTTGCTTTTGCACATAATCATAAATATTATTGTTTTATACATAACATGCAAAGCAATACAAAGTATTGCAAAAGCAATGAATTGAAAACACGCAAGATAAATTTTGATTGATATGCGAAAGAAATAAAAATTCAGCTCTGATACTATAATCTAACGTTGCAATTTTTTATTATGTTTGGATTTTAAATTACAACTTGTAATGATTCATAATAATAATCCATAATTCAACTTGTAACGGGTTCTGTCCGCACCATTTATCAATGCTGTGAGGAAAAAAATAGCTCTTAACTGCTGTATGCCTTTAAAATTGGTTCCCGTGGAAGAATCGTCATTTATGTTAATGAGAGTTGCAGCATAAACTCTTGCAAAATGAGGGATATGGTGAATGGTCATTAGACTGTTACAGAGTTCAGATTTGTGGCGGTGTGATATCTATATAAATTAGAACCAATTGATTGATTGATTGATTGAATATTAACGTCGCACTGTTCAGCTACACGAGGGCTTTTGGCGACGGACCACGTAATTTTGAACCATGGTCAAGTGACGTGGACGACACCTGAGCTGGCACCCCCCTCTCCTAACTACCACACCACACCAACGGGAGGACGTTTCAGCTCTCGACAGATTTAACTTGCATCGCTGCCCTACACGGCGGGTCTTTAGTGGTACGGGGCTCGAACTCGTGACCAGTCAAGCCGCGATCCGATACCCATACCACTCGGCTACCGCGGCCACAAATTAGAACCAAACATCACGCTAAAATGATCGTTTTGGCATGGTGGATGAAGTGCTTGCTTTCGGAACGAAAGGTACACAGATCGATTCTTCCCTCCTTCATTGATAGTACAAAAATAACCGCACCCTTCACGCGCAGCAGTCGTGGCTCCATTTATCCACCGCAAAAGCAAACAAGCCGTCAAATATTGACGCAAATAAGCCGTCACTTCACAAAGTCTTCTCACTCAAATGACGCAATTCTCAAGCCGTCACGCACGATGACGCAACCCATAAAGTGACGCAGCTGTCCACGAATATGGTATCGTTCGTTTACCGAATCACTGGCATGGGGGTATGTGGTGGTGTGATATCTATATAAACCAGTACCAAACATCACACGAAGACAATCGTTTTGGCATAGTCAATAAAGTACTTGCGTTGGGAACGGAAAGTAAACAGATCGAATCTCTCTCTCTCTCTTCTCTCCTATAGAATATTAGAATTAAAAAGAACCCTCCGAATTTTTCATGAAGAGGAACTCATTCGGCTTATTGGACAAGTTAATTCGTCAAGCCAAGGCGAGTAACATGACGTCAAATCTTTGCTAAGCATAAGTGATCCAAATATTTGTTAAACATATTTAGATTAGTAATATTAAGTTGTCCACTCTCTCTTGGTTTAAGAGATTTCTTGATAGTAAATTGAGATGTGCAATCAAAGGTGTCGACTTGAGGAATATACTTAATTATTCAGTGTCTCCGATTTTATCAAGGACCGTGAGGGTGCGACAATTTTTGTTGCAGTTGACATTTATTCTTCATTTCCTATAGCTTTCTTCAAGTCGAAACTCTTGACCATGGTAACCAAATAATCAAGGTGGAAAGTTCATGACCAGTGCTGTTGCACTTGATTCGTGTCCTGATACCATTAAAGAATCTTGGTGAAGAGATGAAGAATATAAGGAATCGTGGTGAAAACAATAAATGTATCAGAGCTCAAAGTTCTCATTTAAAAATATAAGTTTTTTTTTAAATATATGTATATAGTTCTTTTACCAATTAGGCATAACTCTTTCTATGAAGTTTGCTAATAATAATTATTGCGTCAATTTAAAAGCAAAATCAATCCCTTATTAAATTCAGTTTGAGGTTTATGCTCTAATAACTCTATTTAAGTTTTAAAAATTAACAAGATTGTCGAAAATCGTTTGTAACACATTAGTTTTAAATGAAATATATATATAACCGCGCGCAAGTGACGGAAAAAGTGTAAAGAAATTTTTTGAAAGATTGCTTATAACGTTAAATCAGAATATATATATAAACAGTGAACTGTAGTAAATACTTTAAAATAAACAAATAAAAAATAAACCGTACTTACGTACTATCTCATCGATTCTTTTCATATATAAAGATACCTTAAGCAATAAATTTTGCCATATATAAAAGATTTGAAAAATTAATATAAATGTTTTAACAATGCATAAAAAAGGTTTAAATATCTGTATTCAAAAATATCTTGCATGTTTAATATTGTTACGTAGGTCGAGATACTTGGATTTTATGCTATCAGTTTAAAGAATAATACAGATGAAAATTAACTGTTCAAAAATTATCCTTCAAAAATAGGATAAAGCTGTAAAAATGGCCCAATAAGTTCCGGGAGGTTTCCACACCTTCTACAGAGCTCATACACAACTATTAGTGTCTAAAAGTACAAGTACAAAATGTGTATTCGTAAATAACTACTTGCTATTAAGCTCTTCAACAGTATTAAGTAATACTTACTCACTTGGAAAGATAACTGCTATTTATAGTCTGCTCGGCTACCTTCTATCTCTTTCTCGAAAAACCCACTTCTGTCATGGATCTTGAAGTTATAGATTACTCTAGTGATTTCCGGAAACATCCATATTATGAACAAAGCGCCAAAGTGGTCACCAACTAACCAAATTTGGTCGCTAAAAATGATACCAACTTAGTTGCATCGCCTATATTTCGCTATGTTTCGATTAAAACGTTATTATAAAGTAAGGGGCACGTTGCTTGCAAATATTATAATTTTTATCTTAAAATAAATGCAAAAGAATGTATAATATTAGTGTATTAAATATCCAAATACAAATTATTTACACTATCTTAAGCATTAATTATGAAAATTCCGTAACATTATCATAGAAAACAGAAATAAGCTTCAAGAGCTGATAATTCTGCTTACAAATGTAGTTTTAGCAAAGGAAAATAAATTTAGGAATCTTTACTTTTGTAAAAAAATAAATAATAATAATAATTAATAACATTCCTTTCAATTAGTAAAATTAGTTAATTTTAGTCACTAAAACTAATTAGAAAGACTTAATTATCTCATCCAAATAGTAGGGTGACTTAGTTATCGAAATGAATTTAGTAAGCAAAATGCAATTAATATAAACGTGAAGCCTTATTTTCAACAATTTGTAAATGTCACACAATCACAGGTGGATATTTCCTTTTAAATTGATCTCTCTTGATAAGGAAAAAAAAAAGCAGAAAAGAAAAGAAAACTGTGTTATTGGTAGACAAAGCAATTGCATTTTGCTCCCTGTAGAGCACTTATTGATTTGTTTAACTGTCTGCTTGTTCATTTAACAGTATTGAAGTCAAATTGAAAGAAAATGGTTTTACAGCCAATTGGAATATTTTAGTAATTTTTAAAGTTATTTAAACGAATGAATTTTTCTTTAAATTAATGACCTATATAAATAAATGCGTAATTTTGTATTTATTTAAGCTACATGAGGAATGATGACTCATGTTACTGTTAACCACGATCAGGGAGAAGGATTAAGCTGATTCCCAACGTCTTTACTTCCAAAACATGCAATAATTTAAAATCCAGTACCTAACGTACAAATCTGTAGTCACAGTACCTAATAATGTGATGGATTGAGTCAATTTTTTTTCATATTTTCAAAAATGTGCTAGTCATTGCTTTTTGTTGGCGAAGGAAAATTGCCAAAGTCTGAGATAGGTTCGATTTCTACACGATAGATGGCGACACCACCTATACCTCCACCTCCCCAATTTAGGCATAGACAAGAGAGGGGAGGGAAATATTCTCCAGTACCCCAATGGATTTCAGTGAGACAATTTTTTTATATTCCACTCTCGAAGCCGGGCCCCCAATAGGTACGGGGGTTCCCCCAACTCCCCAGTTTACGCGTTCGTAGATCTATTTTTAAGAAAGTTATTAAAATAACGCATTTCTTTCACTGGACTTTGACAAATTTTGGAGAGGACAGCGGGAATTACGCAAACTTCGCTCGGTAATAATTAAAAAAAAATGACTTTTACTTTTACTCATGGTTTCTGCGGCGACCACCCACAAGACTTTTGGAACCCCTGATTTAACGAGCACGTACGTACTCGGAGGGTACCTGGTAGCATCAGGGATCGAAACCAGGCCATCTGGTCTGGAGTCCAATGAGTTCAATGCTCTAACCACTAGGTTACCCATGGTCTTAGTCATTG